ACAAAAAGTGAGCGTTTATTACAGCATTAGTGAACTGGCAATACAATAATTAGCTTTGCTACTATGCAAGCTCTACACAAAAAAACCACGTGCATGGCAGTGAAACATTTTGTGTTACAATCTGTCATCTTTGGCTGATGTCTCTCTTGTATAGCTCTGTGACCTGATCTGAAAATCTTTGTGATGGACACATAACAGAAAATGCTGATGGATGAAAGAATGAGCAAACAAAGTAGGAAGACACCAATCATACGGGATTTATAGATGGAAGAAAATGTTGTCCTTATCAATCTGTTCTATATGGTGCATATTTGTGGTCTAGAAAAAGGGTACAAACATAGTTACTTGCATTTTGAAACAGATAAAAAGTGTATGTGTTGATTTATGGTTTAAAAAAATCTTTTGAGAGGCATATATCAGATTGAATGCTTGGATTCTATTTTAAAATAAATTTAATGTTATATTTTCATTGTAAATAAGCATTTCAGAGTAGAGGTCCTGATGCCGTTCATGTACAAGGGTCAAATTTGGCACAAGGTGTTGCAATGACTCTCCTTGCTAGAGACGCAGTAAGAACCGAGAAAGCTTTAGCTGACTGTACAAATGGTCCTACTACATTTTGGGGAGTAAATGAAACAGGTCAGGTAAGTCCACTCCAAAAAACTTATTTGACCTGACTTGTGTAATTTTACTCCCCAAAATGAAGTAGGAGTAATCCCATTATTTCTTAAAACTAAATCTTCAGTATAATTTCAAAACCTTTGAAGGTCTGTATGTAGAGGGAAGATATATATTTATTTGGGGGAGGGAGAAATGGGAGGGGGAAATGGTTTTAGCTATAGAAAACACTATGGAGAATTTTATCTATATCAGGTCATTACTACTAAACCCAAAACAAAACCTCCCAGCCAAATATGGAGAGAATTCATACCAATACTTGTTAAGGGAAACTACACGCCTGTCTGGCACTGCCTTTTCATCCAGGTTAACTTTTATCCACTTACTTTCATGACACATACTTAATACAAGTAAGAATCTGGAGTGGTAAATACTAGTTACATTGCATGTCCATGCTGAGGTGCTAAAAAGCAATTTTCTTTGAAAGCATTATGTATATGATATACCCCTTGTTATATGGCCAAAACACAAGTGCACATGCATGAGATGGGAAGACTGAAGTAGTCCTGAAGGCTTTTGGGGATGTGTTTGGTTTCACGGGACAAAGATTGTCCCTCCATCCCAAACCAAGAAAGCCAACCTATGCAATTGTGAGAAGGAGCTGGGATAAGTTCAATGTAACATTTCAAAAAGTAAAATTTGGTCCTGCTCGGTTTTCAGAAGGGGAAAGACACTGGCAGATAAAGGGGAAGCATTACAAAGTTTATAATTAGAATTTCAAATTCTTATGGTGATTGAAAAAACGTACAGGTTTATAATTTTAGATTAAAAAACTATGATGTGTTGGGAGATTAAATACGGAGATTTTGGATGCCTCTGAAGGAGGGTATGCGTGTCTCACTGATGTGTGATCACATAAAGGAACAGAATGCATGAGAATGTTGCTGAAAATTACTGAGGTTTCTACAGGGAGTAGGGTCACTAAACCATTTCCAAACAAAACAGAAGTGCGTCAAATAATGTACTAATTCACTGCAAGAAATGTAACATTTTTTTCTGATCTCTGAAGTTATAGAGAAATCCTTGCTGCTGTGGCTAATTTTTCTGGAACACTGGCCAAGCTTGGCTTTCTATGAGCCAGAGCCATCTGTCAGCTACGAGTAACAACTGACGAATCACCCAACCAAAGACAGCGAGTAGGTCTCTCCACTAACTGTCAGTCAACAAGGGATAGGAGGTTGTTTTGGCCCAATGCCTTTTATTTTAGATCTAAGGAACTTAGTTGTGATAATTTTGAAGTTAGTTCCTATGTACCCACCTATGAACTGCTTGATCTCAGGATTCAGTTAAGGTGCTGGGCTAACCACTCAGCCACTCCATTTTGGACTGTATCATTTAAGGGAAAAGAGAAATGCTGCACTGTTTTCAACTCCAGTCATGGAGCTCTGTGTGCACAGCAGTGTTGGCTCTAACAGTGAGTGACAGCAGCGCTCCTATTATCTTAAGTACTGATGTGTTTTGGGAAAAAGCTGCTGTTTTATGTTCCATTCAGATTGATGTAAACACCATCAGTCCTAACAAAATTTTCTTCCAACACAGGAAAGAAATATTTATTTGTATCAGGTAGTGTTATATTAGTAAGGGCATTTAAATTAAGTGGTGGTCTCTAGAGGTTTTTTTTTTTCCCTCATACTGTTTGTTTCCTGTTTATTGTTATTTTTTTCTTTTTAAAAAATGTCCTATTCTTTTTAAAAAATGTCCTATTCTGAAAAACAAAGGCACTGAATTCATAATTAATTCACAAAATATTCATCTAAATATTCTAAACCCTTCAAATTAAAACAGGAAAACAAGTGAAGGGTTATCGTTTCAAACTGTGAGTGAATTCTTAAGTGGTAAGTGTGTGCAACTATTTGTAAGATTTGTCTACTTCCCATAAAACAGATGTGCCTGTTTTCCACAGCTGAAGACCAGACTGCTAATTTTCTTCTTGAGAGGAACCCAGCCTTACTCTGCCCTCCCTTCCCTAAATGGGAAGGTGGATCCCAATGAAGACTTGCCAGTCCTGAGAGGTGGAAGCTGGAGCTGCTGTGCTGGAGGCAGGCACTGGGTCAGTCCCAATCTGCCAGCCAGCGCTGCCGGAGGCTCATTAACAGAGACCAGGACAGTTCCAAAATTCCCCGGTCCTCCATGCAGCCACTTAAAACATTTATTAGCACCATGAGTGCTGCTGGTACTATTTTACCTAACAGACGTGCTGAGCCGGGCATGTCTCCTGTAAGCACAGGTGTTTGAGGGCCCTTTGGGGATGTGAAGGGCCTAGTGACTGGCTATACAGCCAGTAAGCTAGCCAAAGAGCCAGCTTGCTTTCAACATCGTTTGCCTCTAGATCAACCATGGAGACTTCTTGTACAACTTTCTACATTCCTAATTCCACAAGAGGTGGAACAAAACCAGCAGGTCATAACCTGGGTGCCAGAAGGGAAGAAGCATGATGAGCACAGAGAGTGGGAAATCAGAGATTTTTAATGGTAATGGAGAGCTTTAGCACTACTAATACAACACAACCAGGAAACTAGTGTGAGAGGCACGAGGAGAATGTTTGAAGTACTAAAATAGTATTTATTCATTTTTTAAAAAACCAAAACCTGAATGGATCACTGTGTGCTCACACAACACACCTAAAGATCAGGCTATAAAGCTGGGCAAATGAGACCTATCTCCCGAGCCAGTGTCAAGTTAAGTTTTTAACTTTTAAGTGCCCATTAAGTTTTTGAACACAGCCGGCAAAATAATTTCGGATACCTTTGCGTAAGTTTACTGAAACAGCAAGTTCTGTAAACTGTGATTTAGGAGTTCTCCTGGTTTAAATAAGCAGGGTCCATTGTATCACAGGCTGCCACAAAGTCTGGACAAAAAGCAGATTTTTTCAGAAGAAACTAGTTGTCAGCTGCAAGGTTAAAACTCTTTGCAGAGCAAGCACAGCTTTCTTGGGGAGGATTATTTCAAGCTCCTGGAATGAACTCCCACAGGAAGCAATAAACACTTTAAATGACATTTTCTCGTCCAAATGCTCTTTGACCTTGTTTTTTACTAACAAGTATAATATACACAGGGAATCTGAGTAACAAACTGCATTTGACACAGTGAGTCCTTGCTGATTGAACTGTGGGAGAGGGCTCAGATACCACAGCTGTAATTAACACCACAATAAATATATTGACTTGGCAAAGTTAGAAGTTCATAGTAGTAGTGTGGAGTAGTTTATACTACTCAGCTAGGACTATTAGATAACATTACTTTTTGATAACATGGTCTAGATTATGCATATTTTTATTGTGATACTTTTAAGGAATAGCAACTGCACTTACTGTATAGATGTTCTGACAGAGATCTAGCTTGGGAAAAAAAAATAGTGCAAAATTAATATTCAACATTGAAGAACAGTGCAAAAAACACTGCTGAAAAATGTACAGTAGGCCGGTAACTCTTACGATCTCAGTTTGTTAGAAAACCCACAATCAGTGTTTCTTTCCACTTTCCGAGTATGTTAGGCCTCATTTTTGAAGACATATTACTGCTTCACCAGTAGCAGTGCCCTTCCAGAGGGGACACTTGTAGAGGTGGAGACCTACATCTGTGAAGAAATTTTGTTACCTTCTGTCAGTTCCCGTATGTGCTCTCCAGAGCTATCATTACTGGCAAAACTTAATTAAATCATGAGATTCTTCTGAACTACTAAACCTCTCCTACCTAATGCAATTGTTAAAAACTGTATTTTGGATATGTGCTTATAAAACAGTTAAGAGCTGTTCTGTGAGGATGACTTGGTTTCTTCCCAAACATAAGAGTCCAAAGCAGTTACAATAAAAAGTTCAGAATGAAGTTATTAAAGATGTCACTGTTTTACAGTATGAAACTGTGACAGTGTAGGCAAGCAGTTTTCTCTTAAGAGAAAACTTTAAGAGAAAAGCTAAATTAATGTATCAGAAACTTAGCATTGAAGGTAACTTCAAGTACATCTTTGGACCATGAAGCAAAGACTACACAAATCTAAGTACAAGAATAATGACTTTGGTAAAATAAAAGGGTAAGAACTAGAAGCCGTAGTTCTCTTATACTAAAGGCTATTTGTCTGTGGTCCTAACAAGCAGGCAGTTTTGTCCTTTTCAATTTTGTTAAATAAAGATAGTTGGCTTTCAAGAAGAACACACCTCCTAAAGACAGAGTTGACCTTTTCTTCATTGCTTTGTTTACTATAACAGAAACTATATATAAGAATTTGAAAATGCTGTGCTTTTCAGACAGCTCTGTCCTGTACCATAGCTAACACTGCATTTACAATGTAATAATGTGAAACTGACCCCCACCAAAAATAGAGCAGGTTTTAAGGTTTATTTCTGAAATGATATACACTGTATTAATTACAGATTTTTTTAAAAAGTTATCATATTAATGAAAGTTTTAATATAATGACAAAATTATAGATATGAAGATATTTGAATGTTGTAACAATTCTTCGTTGTCACGTTGCCATCCAGGTCATGGTGTTTCAGTTTTATTTCTGGCCGAGTTGGGACAGCTAAACATGAAGAGACAGAAAACCATTAGGTTGCTAATCTTACTCTTTTGGTCAAACTAATATCCAGTTCCTACAGTAAACATTTCTGTCCTATAAACTTTGGTTGTTTCTTACAACCCGAAGTATGCTGGTAATAGAATAGTTAATGCATACCCTCACAGGAGAGGATCTGAGCTTCACAGCTTAAGATGTTAATATATTTCAGAGGTAAAGGTGCAGCCTAGGTAGTCAAGTTGACAAAAATTTAATTAAGTTCACTGAAGAGTTATAAGCTGGTAAGTCTGACTTGTCTCCTTCAAGTGCAACAAGAATAAATTTAGTTCTTTAAAATGTAGTGTTGAGTAACAATTTATTCTCATCTTAATAGGAAGTCAAACCATAGGTGGTGACAGCTCCTGAAGGGCTATTATTTGCTGACTGCTGTGAATAACATTTATTTTGCATTTGTATTGGAATAAGGCATAGAGAAGTAATGGCAATGATAATGTTTTTAACAGCATTAAAAGACTGATTTTAATATAGGTATGGACAACCTCAAGCTCCCACTGGGCCAGTGCTTAACTAGCAAAATTTAGGACACAGGTTTCAAGACCATAGTTGAATAGCAGTTTTTAACTTGTAGAAGTCACCAGAACAGCCCAGGAAGACATGCTATTGGTGGAAAGTACCAAGTCCTGAATCTTTTTCTTTTTTTTTTTTTTTTTTTTTTTTTTAATTAGGATTTATGTTAAGACAATTATTACAAACTTGTTCACCTGCATTACCCGTGAACTCAGATGGACAATACAGGCCTTCAAAAGTTAATTAAAAATAATGACTCCAAGCCCCCATTTCAATCAAAAGAAACCAGATAACAATAACTTATATTAATCTTTCAATATGTATTTTTAATCCATGGAGAGATGTAAAGATAAGTAAATCAAAACACAATTGTAGAAGTGGTAAGTATTACAGAGGTTATCAAAGGTCCTACCTGTTTTATAAACTGTGTAGCATTAAAAAGTTCACTGCAGCCATACAGGATGTGTTTGCCTTGTTTACCCTAAAAAAATAAAAGATGGAAGAAATCAAGTGTTTAACAGAGGAGCAGAAGCAGGTTAAAATAATTGTATAAAAAAAAATCTTGATGATGTTTAGTTCCTACACTTTTTAGCTAGAAAAGAATAGTTGTTCCATCAGAGAAAAAAATTTGTAATTTGATTGAACTGGAAAATTAGAGCCCATAAGCAGAAAGTAAGTGGGAAAAATGGGTCATTTTCACATTTAAACTCACTAGAACATTAAATTCTTTGATGTATTTATGGATGGCTTGGGGAGGGTAACAACCTTCCTTGAGCAAACCCTACCCCCTGAAATAACTAGGCACTGCTCTTAGTATAGTAACAAGATATTTACTGTTTCTGTTGTAATAGAGCCTGAAAACTTCTGTCTGTATTTAATTTCCACGTAATGATGCTGATACTAAAACCAGCGTGTTTTGTAAAGGGATTCTGAAACAAAATGTCATCGATGTCAATAAGATGCATAACAAACCCAGTTTGCAGTGAAAGGTTTAACAGTATTTGTTTGATAGCTGCCAAAGGGCTATGTAAGCATTTTGGAAGTGAAGATTGTGTTGGGCTAATGGTCCCGTGGTTCCTCAAAGTTCAAGCGCAGGCTTGAGAAATCTGCTTCACTATTAAATTATTTTGCATTTTCCCGTATTATTTAGGTAAAACTTACTTATTAGAGAGCAAAATAGGAACATGCACCTTGACAAAATGATTTTATTTCACATGTATTACCAATTGTGCTGTTTCAGCAGAAGGTTACAGAAGCAGATTCCAACAGTCCTTCCCTGGCACTCACAGACTAACTGGGGAGATGGTAATCCTGGTTCAAGTCTTCATCTTTATTAATTTTGAGTGGTTTATGGAATAGGATCTTGAATTTGCATCTTCCCATGTTTCAGGCCAGTTTTTTAAATCTTGATGCCCAAACAGGTCTGGTTTTGATCTCAACTGGTATTTTGACAGATTCCACTCTCAGTATTATGACTGAATCGCACTTGTTTCTGTCTAGTACCGACAAAAAGTCTGAATTGATACAGATAATTGTGAAATGGGACTGCTGTCTTTCAGGCAGCTCTAAAATACACGTTCATGTACACATCCAGCCACATTCTTCTAAAACTATAATTTCAAATAAAAGCATACATGTTTTACAAGTAAATTAGTTAATCCATTCAAACAAAGAGATGTATGTCTAAATAATTAGTGGAGCCCAGTAGAAACCCCTTAACATCTAAAAAAAAAAAAATAATATTAAACTCAAGACTCGTCAAAGTCCAGTGTTTTCTAATGACTGAAAAACTGCTGAATTTTTTTTTTTTTTTGTGATAAATGATAACGTCTAGCACAGGTAGCTTGGAACAGCTTATCAAGCAGTACCTTTCTAACCATCTAAAAAAGGAAATTCAAGGACATGCTAAATTCTTTTGTACAAAACAGTATGCTAGCCTCCTCTGAGAGGCTCCCTATGGCTTGCACTTTTGACAACACATTTTCAGCATATTGAACTGAGCTTGGCCAGTATATCTATTTTAAGGCACAATATGCCTTACTGACATAAACACTTGCTTTTTGACAATGTGAGACAGTCCATTCTAGCACAGAACTGCAAATAATTGGATTTGAGGGTTCCTCTTAATCCTACAAAAATCCCCAGAATGTCAAAGCTGAATGAACATTGCTTCCTGTTTTAGAGAGGTTTAAAATACTTGCTCTGTGCTTTCAGAAGCAAACTGGCAAAACAGATAGTGCTTAGAAAAACAAAGCTGTGAATAAAATCTTTGTGGTATCTCCTTGAAAGAACAGAGCTGTTGATTCTGTTGATTTTTCTTTTTTGTTCTGAAGGAAGACTGATTGAATATTAGAATAATTAAAAAGCTACATCTGTTGAAACAACAGCTGCTGGAAATGTACCACAGGGAAAAGCAAATTTTATTGGATAAGCCTGTAAGAGTCATCTGGTAAAGACAGACAAGGCTGGGGGGTAGGGTGGGGGGGTGCAAAGTTGAATTAAGGCTTTAATTAACCTTTCTTGTTTTTTTAAGAGCAAATGGCTAAGTGGAATAAAGGTGAAGGAGCCTTCCCCCTTGGAGGGGGGGTGGTCCTCTCCCACTGACCAAGTATGGAGAAACTGACAGCACCCTTCAGCTGTGACAACTGATGATGAAGAAACCTCTGTCCGTGGGCTCCAGAAGAAGAAAAACTACATCCAACTTCTGACTCTCCGTAAGACGGAACATTACCATTCCTGTAGTTTTCAGTTCTTTCTGCCCTCTCCATCTGTTTACCAAACGACCTCCTGTTTGCCCTTACTCCTCAGAAACTTCAGCTTCCCACCACTCTGTATGAAGTGCTGAGTGTTTGTCATCATACAAATGTTTTGTATATACACACATAAAAGGCTGTGCATACACAGCAAACCTCAGCTCTGTCAGTATTTAGCTATATATCAGAGAAGTGTATCGGCCTCTAGGGGATTCAGAGTTTTATTTTACTAGGAAGGAACAAATCCATATGTTGCTGGGCATCTTTTTAATTGATACAGTACCTGAAGTAGCTTTGAGTAAATGAAGGAGCAAGCCAAAAGTTTGACAATGCACCCTGTTACAGGCAGATACACCACTGAATGCTGTCATTAGTTATCAAGAGCAGTAGTAAGTGCTAAGCTGAGCCTAAATAATTTCTTTAACTTACATTCCTCTTCCTTTCCTTTCACCTACCCAGACCAGCTCTGTTCCAAAATGGCTGCCTGTTAGAGGCGGGAAATCAACCCAGTACACATGTTCTGACTTTATGTTCTTCAAGATTTACCTGGACATAAAACAGTCATGTGCTTGTTTTGTGGAAGAAGTGTTTTTCAGTAACTAATGCTCCATCTTTATTCTTCTGTGTGAAAAGCCACAATCCAGGACAAGACCATCATACAATGAACAAGGTTAAGGTCGGGAAGGAAGAATGGTACTCTGCTGCACTTGAATAATTTATTATCTACCTCAAAATTTTATCAAGGTTCCTTTTGTATTTTGTTATTCCTGGAAAGTGCTTGAATCCCACTCCTGTCCCCCAACAACTGTAATGATGTAGTTACTTTCCTCCATCCACAGCCTTTTTGTATACACGTGTTCTGCTAGGCTGGCCAGCTGGAACCAGCATTATCTAGCTGGTTACATATTTTCTTCTTTGTGCATATGACATCTCTTATGATTTCTACACAGAATCAAATGATGCAGCATATGAAGAATGAGCTTCTATTAATGCATTAGTAAAAACTTATAAATGTGGGTAAATAATAAATGCTCAGATATTGATGCCAATCTGATCTTTGCTTTGACAGATAGCACAGTAAACAACAGACATTACGCTCAGGTAAGATTCTTGTAAAATAAAGATACTGTTGCCTTGTTTAGAACTGACTTCATATTGCTAAGTGGCATGCAAAAAAGCTTTTGCAAGACTTATGAAAACTAGAGAATTCTGAGCAGTTCCTTACTTTCAAGGCTATGATACCCTACAGCTGCTTTATTTAACAACAACAAACAAAAACTAGTAACAGGACTCAAAAAATATGTACGAGCAGCAAAACTGACAGCAGTTGATATTAATACAGAAGACAGGTTCATTCAGTCAGCTACATCTGCTGATGGTTTTCAACCATGTTAGTGTGTATGAAGACAAAATAAAGCAGAATGCAGTTTATTTACTCAATTCAAAAGCGCAACATGAGCAAAATCTCCAGAAACAGTAACTCTCTGTTGGTCTGAATTAATAATCCACATTTTCTGCTGAGTTCTTATATACTTTTTTCCCAGACTCTGTATATAATAGGGATGGTTAAGGCTAATTTCATGGACTCAATCTTCTAAATACTAAATGTTGCAGAAAACCTACTAAAACTCATTTGTATCAGTAAGTTACAGATGACTACTGACAGAAGTGCACATACCTTTATGTAGTCAATAAGATTTTGATATTCGATATAGTTGCCTCCTCCAACTACAAACACTATTGCCTAAAAGGGAACACACACATAATTACAGTATGTATTCAAATTCTTAACATTTCAGTAGTGAAATATATACCAAATCATTAAACCTACAGCAAAAATTATCCTAATCACACTGCAGTCTAACAAGAACAGATACAGAACCACTAGCTTCCTACCTCAAAGAAGATGATAGAATTAGAATAGTTTTAGTAGCATGCAGAATAGCAAGCTGAGAGCTTTTAACATGTCACTATCTTCTACTAAGAAATATCTGAAATACATGGTTTGAACATGTGACTTTTCTGTGCCCATAGGAACTGTTAAAATATTTCCATGGCTGCTTAAGAATTAATTCAGGACACAAATGAAATACTTCTGTTACAAAGGAATATACTTTTTCACTCTCACTTACTACTGTTAATAATCTATATATTACAGGTAAAGGCCATCAGTATTTTCTGGGCTATGTTTAAAGGAGAACAATTAATGAATAGAAAAGGAAGACTTAATAGTTGCATCATTTTTGTTAATGTTCATTATCCAAATTTTTTTTACTACACTGTAGAGATTTTCTATAGACTTTATGTTACTCTTGACATTTTTGCTGTGACCATATCTGCGAGCCATATACATGACACCATATGGCATTTCTTTTGTTCAGGAGGATAATTAGGATATTTCAAGAGAACTCTTGAGACATATGCATAGATTTTGCCTGTGAAACTGATGGTAGTAACATCAGATAAGTAAGACTTTTACTATTTGCAAATATTTATGTTGAAAAATATTGAAAGTTACTGGAATTTGTATAAAATGACAACATTTGTTGTTTTGCTTTTTTCCTATAATTGCAAAGACTTTAAAATAGTCACTTAAATCAGTGGTCAATACTGCTATTTAAGGCTGGACAAAGGATTAAATCTAGAGAGCATTCTAAAGATCTGGTACAAAAATGCACATTTTAAAGTGCTGAGTACCCAATTATTAAAAAAAATCCCTGTAATTACTTCCAGAAGAATTCTAGATTTTTTTTCCTCCAGTATTAGTTAATGTTTACATAGTCCTTTGAAAATTAAGACTTCTTCAGAATATCAGCCAATTACAAATTAATACTAGATGTAATTAGGCTAAGTGGTTTTTGCAAACAAGACCTCTTGTTTTCTTAATCATGATCATCAAAAATGACTGGTACTTCAGGATTTTATTTTTTTAAACACAGGAACACTGAAAAATAATTTCTTCATGACTTACCTCCTGGAATGGGTTTTTGTTTCTTGGAACTGAGCTATAAAGAGAAATACAAACAAATTACAACTTAGATTTTATTAGATGTTAATATAAATATACAAAGTAAGTATCACGTACACATCATGTTTATGGAATACTATAATATTAGACAAAGATAAAAAATAGAACAATAATTGCCTGTCTGCATGCATTCTGCAAGTATTTTATTTAAATTATCTGTTATGGAAAAATAATTCATTCTACAGGAATGAAGACGTAAGTAAACAGGAGTTCTACTTCACTAGTTTTAAGGTTGCTGTTTGAATCATAATGACAATGCTTCTTTTGGAGCTTAAAAGCTCCAATTACAGCGCTGCTAGCTAGAAGCAAATACAATGAGTAAAAAATGTCATCAGCATTAGCACAGTTCATGACGCTGACAAATCCTGCCCACTGGAATCTTAACCAGGTAAGCCAGTCAGGTTGCAGTGCCTGCAGAGATTCTTAGTGATGCTACAAAATCTCAAAAACTACTCTAGGCAGCAGGTATGTGTCAGGTGTCACGGCGATGTTAAGATTAACATGATTTAAGGAAGGAGAGGTAAGTTATGGTTTGGGTGGTACAGACTCTTCCTCTCCATTTGAATACACAGTCCCAGCCACAGGAAGGTAGCAGGGAGAGGGGGAGAAACTTCTTTTTGGGCATCCCCTTGTACCTTTTTAGGAAGGGAAAAAGCAAAGAGAAAGCTCTGAGGGGGTCAGTCTGCTCTCCTGCCCTTTACTCACCCACTGCCCCTGCCTTCCTGCCCTGTACTGGCCTGAACATGAGATGTACTTGAGTACATCTTATGTTCTAACACAGGTTAAGGGTTGTTTTTTCCCCTTCAACTTATCTTTTCAGTAAGTTTTCTCTGACTGACCAACAACAATTGACTTAATGTGGATTCCAGTGTATCAGAAAAATAAGTTTTAAGAGGGAATGGCTATCTCTAATATCTTGTTTTGATCTGTCATGAATAGTACAGACTCCCCACCAGTAGAACTGTTAGCCCAGCTCTCTCCTCGTTGGAATATGCTATAACAAATCCACATACATTTCGTGCCATCCTTTCAGAGGGCAAGCCCTGTTCACACTTGACACAGGCTTCACACAGGATATAAAGATACTGTTTTGCTAAGAGTGAATTACAGTAATGCAGCTCCTACTCGATTTAAAAAATAATAGGTAGAAATGCCAGTATTTCTTAAAACAGGAGTAGGTTAGGAAAAAAAAAAAGTAATTTAAAAAATATAATTGCATTAATTATACTATTTGATATTGTTACTTTAAACATAATATTTTTGTAAAGCCAGCTAACCTATTCTTTTTTTTTTTAATCATCTACATAAATATTTGAAGGGAGAATTAGACAAACCACTATAGGGCTAGACTAGAGTTTTGTTGTCATGCTCAAATATGATTTAAGGAATGTAACTTGAGTTTATGTAAAAAAACCCAAACAAACCCCAAACCATAAATCAAAAGTTCTTCCTCTGGGATGACTATTACAGCTACACAGAATGGCACATTCATTAATTGCTGTAAATGCATATCTTTACATTGATTAAAATAACAAAGGAAATATATGGAGTGGGTAAAAATGCACATTTACATGAGAAAAACCCTTTGCCTTTAATAAAACAATCGTGGCACTTTTGCAAAAAATCTTCCAAAAATGCTGTAAAAGCATAACAGAACAATGCCAGTTGCAATGAAAATGAAACATAACATACTGGGAAATTTTTTTTCTCTGTTGCTTTCAAAATCTGCTTACCTTTGAAATTATATAGTCTGTAATAATACTTTCCAATAAAACACATATATTACCTGAAATTTGTTTCCTATTACTACTTATGCTGTCAGAAATCTACTTTCCATGAAACAAGAACAGAGGAAGTGGGGACAGATTTTAATGCAAATAATTAAAACCAATCCTGGACCTACTTTATCCATATTTGTCCTGTAATAAACCCCTGCAATTAAATGATCTGACTATTTTCCCACAGCTCAGATGAAAATGATTTTTATATGTTAAAATTAAGTATCTTCTCTGTTCCTAGGATTTTAGATATGAGACTATCAGCCAGTTATTAGTCAAAATTATGAAGCAAAAGGTAGACATTTATAAATTTCTAGTGTAATTCCTCTTCATCTCTTTTATTTGCAAAATAAACTGTGTTCAACTCTCTCTTCATATGCACATGAATATAAAATGTGCAGCTGTCTACACCAGAGCAAATGCAGTCCATTTTTTAATGATTTTTGCAAATTTATTAAAAAACTACTAAAGAAGGGTTCTATTCAAATTAAAATTTTAACTGTTTAAAAAGTAATAAATTTTGGTGCACTATCCAATGACTTTTTAATTTAACAGTGAAAAACCACAAAGTTTCAAATAAACCAAGCAGTACAACTATAAATAATTCTAACATTTATTATTGTTAAACATTAGTACACATTCCTGTGACTAAACTGATGTACTTGTTAGCAGCATCCTCAGTCACTGGAACAAAAATTTTTTATCAGTGTTATTCCCATTGTGAATTCCTTCAACACCAACTGTCTTGACTTAGAATTAATGATTCAAATTAATTACTTGTAGTCAGCAAGTAAAATAAAACCAGATTTCTTAAGTTAGCCTTTTTGCAGGGTACAAGGAAAGAAGCAAAACTCATAGTAAACTCACCTGTCACTGCCTCGTAGCATCTTGGGGTCAAAATACCGGTAGTCATCTGTCTCCTGTTAAAAAGTATGTTTTTATCTCCAAAGATTGGAATTTTGGCTTATGAATTTCTGCTTGTATCTATTATATTAAACATCATTTAAGCCAACATCATTTCCCATTTAGCAGTCACATCATTCAAAATTAATTGTGGTGTCCACTAATATTTATCGTATTTATGCAAAACTGATCCAGTACAGAATAAACAACAGTGAGAGAGCTATGAAGGGTGCGATTGAGCTTTTTGGTTCTGGTTCATCTAAAATTGACTATTACACACTTTCAAAAAATACACTGGCTGCATAATAAATCTCAAGAGAAAGGCAGTATGCAGAGAGAAAAATTAAAGTGTTACCAGCTTAAGAAGAACATCACATGGTTAGTTATAAATGTTAAAATTTTCCAGGTTACGGAGATCTGCTGTTGATTTAATATCATAAAACAAAACACTGCCAGGGCAAGGAATGCTAAATACAAGATAGATGAAAATCTGCTACTGTTACATAACTTACCATTTTCAGTTCATGATTTATGACTACTATTAAACCAAAATTAAGCTCTTGAAGAAGAAATGAGTTCCACAAGAATTTGAAAAGTCTGACTGTCTAAACCAGACCGTTTTCTTCACACAAAACACTAAAAGCACTTCCAATATTTTTATTGGCAACAAGCAGGATTTTTGCCAATTATTACGGATGAAAAACAAACTTCTTAGTAACTCCTTCTGACAACTACTTGGCTTTCTTCTGTTTCTATACTGCATTTTCACCCAGGTACTGTGAAGTTTAGTTTGTGGATACAGAGCATGCATGGCTACAGCTGAATTCATCTGGGTGCTTACATGCAAGATCTCTGTGTTTTGGTGATTCTGTAGAGCAGAAGTAATTCTTCTTCAGTAGCAGACATTATCTGGAGAATTTATTAGAGCTCACAAAGCATAACTATCTCTAACACAACAAAATATTTAGTACGTGTGGTGGTTACACATAGAGAAAATAAATCTATTTTATATTAAGAACTTTATATAATTAGAGAAAATAAGTCTCTTGTCCTCAACTTTTGGTTTTTTAAAAAATCAAATTTGGATCTAATTTCGCACTGAACGTCTGTAAAATGCTTTTATATGCTCCACTGGGCATTTCAACTGCATTTGTAAAGTCTTCCAGAATTCATGATTTTGGTAGCCTCGTACATAAAGGTGGCATAGCAACTTGGAAGTAATGAGAGAGCTGGGAACAGATAGATATTGCTAGACTAAAACTGACAGGTATTTGAGAAACCTTTAGCTCTGATAAAGAGCTGCAGTTTCCCTGCTTGTTAGAATGAATTGCAGATTAATGACAGAGCTAAAATCAGAGTTAATAACCAATAACATTTCCTCCTGCATATATTACTGCTGTGTTTTTTCGCTGTGGGCTTGTGTAAGTAGACACATAAGAACAAGTGAAGTAATAGAAATGTGATAAGCTAGTTTATTTTTTTGTTGTTTAAATACCCCACTCCTGTTGAAATCAGTTCTGAGGGTGCAGGGAAAGAAACCCTACTAGATTTTATTTGCTTTAAGAAATAGCTAGTCTGCCAATAAAAGCAACTGTATAGCGGTTTCCTTACACACAATTGAATTTTTGACTTCCCCAAGTAATTAAAGAATAAAATTCATACTTTTGAAATTATAAACTTAATTTTCAAGATTTCAAATTAAAATGGAAAAAGACCCATGGAAATATCCCTGACTTTAAGTCTGTATTTGTTTTTCTGCAGAAGCAAACATGACTACTTTGGATTAAGGAATTTTTAGAATTTTTTGCTGTAATGCATGAAAGGTAATCATACAGTGTATCCAAAGCCTGAAAGATACCATATTCACTGAAAGGGATGATATTAACCAAAATACAGTTCCATTCATATACATCACAAATAAGACTTACCTAACTCTTAAGTCAATACAAATGTACGTACTATGTTGATAGACTTTGGGACTTTGTCATAAAAATATTAAAGGTTCACTTATCAAAGATTGTCCTTACTCAAGAATCAAACTATGTTGTGGAAGATACTTTAAAGAAGCTCCATAATTCTATAGTAACTGGTGGTCAGTTTAACATCTATGGGCTAAAATTTGTGTATACTTGACAATATGGTTTTTTTAAGAAGATTTAAGGTTTTAACCAATCTCTATTTAGTGATACCAAAACAAAGCAACTATGTTATTAGATTTATGAACAGAACATTCCTTTATGAAAATCCCAAAAGCAATGGCTTAAGAACCTGCTTCAACCAATAAATGCTAATATTAAAAAGCCCCCAAGTATCAGATTACTGTAAGGTCATCAATGAGTGTTTCTGAATAAGTATTTCAAGAAAAAGTGTAACTATAGTTAAACAATCTGGACAAATTTTTAAAATTACAGGATGGTATTATTGCCCATAAGAACTGTTCTATCTGTTCCAGCTTCTGAAAAACTTAGAAAGCACAGGCACAGACTGATTTGTCCTTCCCGGTAGCTGTCCTTCTGAGACAGAAAAAGCAGCAGGGACAAGTAACATACACAGTGATTTACAGACAAACCTACAGAGTTTTGCACAGCAAATAATTCTGAATAGGTTTAAAATTTCAACTGACAATAATATTTGTGAGTCTTGGTAGTACAACTTGTACATTTCATATATTTACTTAATTGTTGCATTTTACATTTAGAAAATAATTTATTTACATTCATTGTAATAACTGACTTCTCAATAATCTGTTCTAATTTTGCATTACAACTTTTATCTGTATGTACGTTTCATACACTAATCACTCTGGTTAGTAAGATTCAATGAATACAGGAGATTTTTTTTCTGTGTTGTAAAAAACCCATAATCTTAAGCTTTTTTTCCCCTCCCTTGTATATTTTGCCTGCAGTGCACTAGTTTTCTATTCCAGGAAACAGAAAAGGACCTCATACATCAGAAGATGAACAGAGGCAACAGTGGTGTTATTTCTACATGTTGTCCTTTTCCAGATAAAATTTCACTGCTGTTGATGGTACAGCAAATCTAAACATACTCCACAATGACTCCCTGGCTTGCTTCTGTTAGTTGAAACTTACTCAAAAAGTTGCCATCAATTTTCCTGCAGGTTAGGAGAATCATTCTTTAGGGCTTGTCTGGTCTGCTAAGACTTGAAAAGTAGGACTCCCTGTTTTGGGCCATGAATTTCAGTCTCTGACATGGCAGTGAAACATGAAGATGCTGTCTGACAGATTGGCTCAATCTCTGCCTTTTCAAGTGAGAAAATCAATGTTTTCTCCAAATTATCAAAGTGATCGTGGCTGTTTTCTGCCAAGTGAAATGTGACATATCAAGTCAGCAAAAAACCGCATATGATTTGTAAACTTTTCTGAATCAATTCCTAAACGTGTAGCCTGAGGAAAACAGGGTTTATTTAAAAAAAAAAAAAAAAAAAAGAAATTGTTTCATTTTTCACCTACTTGTAACTTATCTGGAGTTTTTAATTTCAGCTTTCTGTATTAAGTGTTCTGAGTGACCTCTACTGGTTGACTAGACAAAATCAGCCCCATGCCTCTCTTCCAGGTCTTGCAAACAGGGACAACAATCCACTGCCACTGAAAACAGGGTAAATTTCTTTGTTTGTTAAGAGAAAGCACATTTTCTGCTAACAGTCATGATATTATATGAAGTACAGTTTCAGAAAAGACAGGATTACTTACATGTTGATAATTTTCATATTTTACCATTGTTTATCTCCCTTTACATATAGTTAGTACCTGAAGGTGAAAGTGGGCTAAGAAGAATGTTTTAAATCTACTAACCAGTGTGAGATATTACTATTGTATCTCTCTGCTAATGCTGATGTCATTAAACCAGGAAGACTAAGACGATGTGGCAAACATATTAGAGCTTTCTAAATTACTTTCAACAGGTGACTCTTTCAGAATAAGTTTGTGCACAAGTTTGATAAGAGTTCTGAAGTAATGAAATACACAGCAAGGGAAAAAGACTGCTTTGACTATAGAAAAATACTTAGGACTATTTTTAGCTGTAAATTCTAGCAAATGTCTTGACTATCTAGCTAACATTTAAGCATTTCAAAAGCTTGTAACTTAGAAAGTCTGAGTAAATTTTCACAGAAACAAGGGGAAAAGGGGACTTTTCTGACACAAAACCAACTCTGCTTGCAAACTGAAAGACTGCATGAGTACTAAAATATTTTCCACTAAATAGCAAAGCTTTAAATACATGGGAAACAAAATTTTCTCTAACATAACTCCTTGTCACTACATTATTTCTGAAATACTGCTCTTAAAAAAAAAAAAAAAATCACCTTGATGTAAAGAAAATTTCAGCCCACAGTCTTAAACTCAATATAGCACAAAAGCAACAGAAGCTCAGAATAGGAAAAAACCCCTCAAAAACATTAATTCCAATGAGACACAATGAATTGCCATTGTTTAGAAACTACTTTTATGCAAAAAATCTTATGAAATAGTTATGAAAATGGTTCTGTTCTTGAGGTACAGTATGATTAGATTTAACTGCATTAGCATGAAAAAAACAGCCATAGGATGTTACATATCACAGCCTCAAGATTCCATTTGTTCCACCTGTTTCCAGGTGAAGGCAGTTGTACTCACAGGGTTTGACTTCATCTCCATAAGGCTGTCCAGTATACGTGTGACTGGCAGGTTCTGTAAAACATCGTGTGAAATTAACGGAACACTGAATTATTCACAGGCACGCTATTATTTATAGAATAGTTTATGGAGCATTTGAAGTACTACTTTAAACAGTTTTCCTCTTATATTCTGTAAAGTTGTGCATTTTTATCATCCTCTAAATTACTTTTTTGTACAGAAAATGCAAACATATGAGGAGCATTTAGCTAGAGGATGATAAAAAGTGCAAAAAAGTGTGAAGATAGGAACAGAGTTGTATTTCTGCTTATATTACCAATATAAGCAGACATGTGACAATGTATTAATTCTTATAAAAAAATACTTTGCAGTTTAAGGAAATAATTTTAAAGCTGAAGATGAGAATTACAGGTGTGACTCTAAAAGAGAACTAATGTTGTCAAAGAAAGGGGTAAAAAAAGCAATCCTGGCAACCAATGCTTGGATGAACTGGAAAGGAATAAACTGAGGTGAGATTCAAAATTACTTTTCCTTATTTAAGATGGGAAATGTTAGCTTGGACAAAAGATCTGAAGTATTCAACAGTCAAACCACTGTAGTTGTAATAAACTGAGGGAGAGTTTACATAGCAACGGAATTGAGAATGTGTCTTGTTGACAGAATATATCAAAAAAGGACATTCCAAAGGATGATCTACTAATAACACTGAAAAATTCTTAGTAAAAAAACAGTGTAAATCTCCAAATGACCAAATGACAGATAAAAATTTAACTTTAATAGAAATACCACAGACCAACATCAGGCTTAAAAACACGAGGAAGAACAGCATTTTATTTGGCTACCCCAAAACACCTGGAGAAGAAATTAAAAGCTAGAAAAAAAAAAATCCTGAAAACAGCATCATTGTGGCTTCTTACTCACTCAGAACCCAAACCACAGCAAGCCATTTTGTCAAGAACAGTACTAACTTTTTAAAGCCACATGTTAAAAGAAATGACAAAATGTTTAATACAAGGAGAATAGGAAGTCTCATTTAGAATACAATCATTATCTATTGTTACAAGTAACAGTTTATCTGAAGATCTCTCTATAAATATAACATACAGGCACACTGCATATTTAAAAGTTTCCTCAACCAATTTCATGACATACCACTGATTTCTAACTGTGCAATGCAACTTATATCCAGTCATAGCGATATTCCTGCAAAATTAATTTGATTGATTACCCTACAAAAGCCACAAATACAATATTTTAAAACTCTTATGTGATAGCTGATGCTTTTCGTGCACTAATTATGTGTATAATAGGATGACTAAACAAACAACAACATGATAAGATTAGCTATGTCAAACAGATGCATGTTTAATTAGAGGTGACTTGTAATTTCATTTAGTTCTGATATGCTGTATTTCTAAATTAAATTCTCATTCTTCCACCAAGAATTATAATATGATGAATTATCTTTTTCTTAGAAATCTTGATGTCAAAATATGAATTTGAATTTTTAACTGTAAATATTTATTGCCACCTCACCAAAGTGCATATTGGAGAAAAGAATGCATCCTTTACAGGGCAGCAAGCTTCTGAGAACCACAATTCAAAATTTCAGCTATGAGTTATACAACCAGTATCTTTTTTTTGTTATTTGTTTTCTTCTGGGGGGTGTATGTTGAAATTTGTGTGCAAGTTATGCTCAGAAATGTTTTCTAAAGTTAAATGAATATTTGAAAGTGGCCATGTCATTATAAACACCCTTTGATTTTCAAGCACATTTCAAGGTTATGGTTACTGTATGTTACTTATGTGGGAAAACTAGAAATGTTTGAATTGTAACTGAACGGAGAACGAATGCTTTCAGTCTTTCAGTCACTCTGGAATAGATGCATTTAATATATGCTGTTCTAAGTAAAGACACAGAGGGTTTTTTTTTTTTTTTATGAAGGTCTAGTCTATTTTGAATACTCCACAGTTGCTCTTATAAAGCTGAAATTAGTCTTAATTGCATATACTGGAATCAACTCCTTACAAATGGAGGTATTCAAAGAAAATTTGAACATTATCTGTTACTTGTCTAAAACCAGGAAGCTAGGATGTGATACATCTATCTATCCACCAGCAGAGGCTGATGTTTGTTTTTTTACTGTACAGAAAATTTGAACATTATCTGTTACTTGTCTATAACCAGGAAGCGAGGCTGATGCTTGTTTTTTTACTGTATGACTAATTTTATTAATCTGACTGAGGTACTGAAAGTTGTTTTGCTAAATGTTCACAATGCTCATGTGATAGATCTAAAAAATTTGGTTTTAAACTTACTTGTTGCTTAAGTACTAAGTTCTTCACTCCTTCCATTACAAACTGTGATCCTGTATTCATAACACGTGAAAATAGACTGAAAAACAAAATAAAGATGATTTGTAAGACCTTCTTTTTTTAATTTGCTTTCTTAAGCTTTATGCTGACATCCAATTCCCATTAAAGCTGATGGGACTTAAGTACAAAGTCATTCAATTTGTCATGAAATACATTCTTCAAACCACACGGCAACCAAGTGTATGGGAATACACCTATGATCTAGCAGTACAGATCCTTACCTATAAATAGCAGTCTCTAGTCTTTAATCCACTGAACAGTTTATTTTACAACTTCAGTAATACAAGGATTTTAGTGCTTCTTTCAAGTGGGTGTCCTAATCACCAGAGTTAACAGAGATGCTCAGTGTCTCCAACCAACCAACCAGTAATTTTTACACGTGAGAGAGCACCAGAATTCTCTCTAACCCTACTGTGCCACAGTTTCCTTATGACAGCGCATTCCTGAAAGTAAAGCTGGTAATCAGGATTCAAATCCTCTCAAGCATGGAAAGACTCAAGTCCCATAACCTGTATCCTGTATGGGATATATGTATCCTTAGCACAGTCATTATCTTTTCATGTCTTGAAATAAAAAATGAAATCTTTCAACCAGCAGACAGACACCCAGTCCAGGACACCCTAATGACAAAGCAGTGTGTTTTTGCACCCCTGACAGTCTCCACGCCCTGGAGAGAACCAGTTTTGAATAGACAGAGCTGTTCTCTTCTGCCATTCACTAAATTGAGCTCAAAATGATGGCTGTCATAGATCCATTCCTTGGTGCTGAATTCTTCTATGAGAGTACATTTAAAAATGTGCAGGTGCAGATATCACTATATTAAGTTACTTTGTAGATGTAGTCACAGATCCTTTTATTTTCCTGTGTGTAAGTCCTATGCACTGTTAAGGGGAGAAGAGTGCTTGTAATTGTCTGTAACTTAAAACTTTTTACAAATAAGGAAATGTTTTATTCTGGGCTTTGTACAACACTAATCACAATTTCAGCGCTACTTGAATAAACTAAAAGAACACAAAGGCTTATGGAAAATTAATCAAAAGCATACCCCAAAGGTTTAGGCGTAGTGTTTCCATAGCTGGTTGGAGCTGAAGCCATCTTAGTGAAAGCCCTGTGAAAGCAGGGATAGAAATCAAATGCTTATTCTCATGGCACATACTGCTACAAAATGTTCCATTCTGGTCATCTGAAAGTAAAAAAACTTCTGCTTCTCAAAATCTTTTAGGAAGTAACTATTTATTACATGCACCTCTTGTCTAGAAATATAATAGTTAAGGAACTGCAAGTAATTCAATTTTATACTTAAAAGACAAAGACTTTATTCTGATACTGTGGAAAACTAGAATAACTGATTGATAAGCAGCATGGCTCTTCAATATGAACCAAACAAATTTAAGAGTTTGAAGAAGCACAACTTTTCATTTAATTCAAAAAGTTGTTTCTGTCTTGGATCATTAAGTACACTACCATGTGTCATGGTCAATAGTGTTCTGGCATTACTGGAGTTTAGTTTTAAAATATGATTTGCATGTTATTACCATAACAATGACAGCAAAAAATGATGCCAGAATGAATGCTTAAGGATAATTTAGATATATGAGAAGTTACACTTAATTCTGTGATAACAATGCTGAGTTCTGTAAAACTACCCAGTTATAGCCTCACATAGGAGAAAAAATAAATTACTTACTTCCATTGTTTTATGTAGCTCAGAGGAGCAAGATTACAACCTGCATCCATCAATGCTTTTTTATACTGGTCCAAATCAATCTGAAATTCAAAAGGTTGCAATTACTCTTAACTCTCTTTATGTGGAAAGACCAGATATCCTTATCTTCTATTAAATAAGCAGTGTAAAGCTATTGCATTAACCAAAGTTAAAAGCTATTTATGAGTCCTAATCCCATCTCCTACCAAGTACAAAAATATAACTTAAAATGCAATTTGCTCTCAGCAGTTCTCATTAAACTTAACAGTATTTGTGGAATTAAATCCTGTGCACTTTCAGAGGAACAGTCTTTTATAAGGGCATCTTTAAAAAACCTGACAGAATACTGGTTTCTGTAAAATGTCACAACAGCAAATATAAAAATGAAGAGGCGTGAATATACATTTACAAGAATACTTTCTCTTTGCCTAACCCCACGTATTTTTGGTACCACATAATATTTCTACAGTATAATAAAAATCTTCCTTGAAATTAATCATCATAAGTTCAACAGAAATATTAAACTGTTTCCTGAAATATTCAGATATTGGCACAAGAAGCATTTCTCCTTTATTGATCTGCTAGTCAACTGACCCAATTATTCTTGCATATACGAGGATAGAGTGAATAGAGTCTTATTAACATTTTGTTTTATCTACTTCTTCTGAGCAGAGAAGAAGAATAAGAGAAAGCATGCCAAGATATGTCTCGCAGTAAATCTGAACTAAATATTTCAAAAGATAATCTTCCTTCTTACTAGTCATTCATATCCTTTGAAATGGTGGCTAATTTGTGAGCAGATTCCCTGATAATACTACAAAATTTATTTAAAGTTTTAGTATTTCCCCAGCATTTCATACTTCACTTAAAATTGATGCAGAAATACCTATTTTGTGCTGAAATGATACAGAAAAATCCTTCGTGGTAGAGTCTGGACGCTGTAAAGAACATACATACCTCTGAAGGTGCCTGGGCTGAGCTTATGTAATAGATAAGAAATAATCGCATTTTGTCTTCTGGAGTTCCCGCTGCAGTAAAAAAAAAACAGAAAAAGCATTAAAAAAACTACAATTGTAACTATGCTGCTATGTTAAATGCTCTTCAGTAATAATTATGACAATAACCATTATCAATAGCCATGGCCTTGTTCAGTGTAGAATGGTAGAGAGACATCTAGCAACTTTATTAAAAGTTGGGTTAGACCGGCTCACTGTTTCTGAAAGTTCGCTTACACTACTCTCTTTTGCTGGTAGTGAGTATTACTCTTCAAATAACATACTAAGTAAGTTATATAGTGGCATTATATCTTATTTTATGTAGGGACTGCAAGTATCAGCAGGGAGTAGATCCAAGAAAGAGGAGACTAAAGAAAATCATAAAAGTAAAAGCCACAGCACATCATATTTTAGTTCCACAATTTGTTTATGCAGCTCTCTGAAACACCTGAGGGCTGCAAAAGCACTTATGTGAACTTCTGGTCAGGAAAAAAATCCTGAACTTCCAACTTGCCTTCAGGAAGGATTTCCTCTCCTCAATCATCTTTTATCACATCAGTCATTGGAGAAAAACAATGCTACAAATTCTTGGGAAGCATTATCAATGGCAATCAAAATTCACCTCTGCTAGATCAAAATGATGATGATGTCACCGTCCCTGTGTTACTTCAACTACAACCTACTACAGTAGATTTTCCTTTTTTCCAGAAGAGAATCACTATTAGTAAAGATCACAGTTTCAAATGAAGATTTCAGAAGCACAACTTCTCAAAACATTTCAAATTCATAATCCAATACTTCATTAAAAAAGCTTGGTACCTTTAGATATAGTACAATATTTTATAAAAATGCACTTTCTTGTACTTGTGGGTAAGAAAAAAGATAATTTTTACTGGTTTTTTTTTTGTTTGTTTTGTTCTCCCCCCCTCACTATGGAATGTGGATCATGTCAGCAGGGGATCATCTAATCTAATATGCAACTTTTGTTTATATGTGAGCATATATTTAGTTTGGCAGAAGTTAAGAGTAAGTGCTGTCATAATGAACATTTATGACTTGGTGCAAGTCTTTCTGGAAAATAAGTTTTATTAACCTTTACCAAATACCAGTAAGCCAGAAGATCAAGAACTGAAGAAACTCTGTATTACCCAAAAAAAAAAGCCAGCTTTGAAGGCAGACATCCATGTGAATTTCACTTGGGTAAAAAAAGCACTTAAACATTCTAAATATACAGTGTAAGTGACTTTGTTTTCTGTAACTGACTTGTAAACTTGATGTTTCCACTTGTTTCAGTACTTTGCTGATCACTAGGTTTCAGTTTCAACTGGAATCCAAGGGGAAGTCATGCTTGACCAACCTTCTAGACTTTTATGAAATTACAACCACGTGGCTAGATGATGGGAAAGCAGTTGAAGTGGTCTGTCTTGATTTCA